AGGTGACTGAAGGAAGAGGCGTAAGCGGAGGGACTCCCTGTGTGTCCCTGGCACCGTTTTTCATTCTGCAGATTTAGGGCTTTCTTTAGTGACTAGGTGGAGGGCTGTCAGTGGAGGGGACCGCCTGCCTTCAGCCCCGGGCGTTCAGAGACCTCCGGGGATTGGAACCGTCTCTCGATGGCTAGAACGGGGGGGGGGGGGGGATCCTTTTATTTTCCGGGGCTTAAGTCTCCCTGCCTCCTTCCAGGCCCGACGGGGAAAAGAAAGCTTACGTCCGCCTTGCTCCAGATTACGACGCCCTCGATGTGGCCAACAAGGTAAGACCTCTCGTGTGTTACGGGACTTGCTTCCGTAGGAGATGAGGGGGTGGGGTGGGGGGCTCTCTTTTAGGAAGGGGGGAAGAAGGTCTGCTTTTGGGGGGGAGGGGCTTGGATCCCCCGAGACAAGCGAGAAAAGGAGGCGGCTGACCAGAGTTTCTGGCTCTTTTTCAGATTGGGATCATCTGAGCGAAGGCCGGCCAGAGCGGCTCAGACACCCAGCATTTGTCCAAGTGGTTTACAAACTGTTCTTCAAAACCAAGCTAAGATTTACAATAAATGACCCTGAACACCCTGAACGGTTTCCACCCTTTGCTTTCCAGTCTTGTAAGAGAAGAGTTGGTGGAGGGAGGCCGTGTGCCGCATCCCCTCTCCTAAAGGGTGGTTGTCCCCATTCCAGGTCGTCCCTGACTTAACGGCCACAACGGAGCCCAGATTGGGGGTGGATGGTTCTCACCGTCAGGAAATGTTCTCCTGATTTCCAGGTTGAATCTCTCAACAACTGGCCTCTGGAAATTGTGAATGCTCCAACACTGGGAGTTCTTAAGAAGAGATTGGATATAATCATTTGTCTGAAGTGGCACAGGGTTTCCTGCCTAAGCAGGGGTTGGACTAGAAGACCTCCAAAGTCCCTTCCCACTCTGTTTATTCTACAGTATATTCTAGCCTAGTCTGTATTCATTCTACTATATTCTATTCCACAAGTCTAGTCCATATTCTATTTATATTCTAGTCAAGTCTATATTAGACTAGGAGGAGGAAGGCCTGGTTGTCCCTGGGGTCGCGATGGGTCGGACACAACTCTGCAACTAACAACTAGTCCATATTCTATTCTGTATTCCAGTCCTGTTTCTGTTCAGTCCTATTCCTGTCCTTCTGCCCTTCCCAAACCAGGCAGCTCCCCGCTGGCTGTGCCGCCACTGCTGCTGCCAGCCACCACCAGGTGTCCTCACCTGTCTCTGAGCTGCCCTCTGAATTACACTTCCGCTTTGGTCCATCTCACCTGAACCACCTGGCTGATTGACGGCCTCATAAGAGAACCCCGTCCCTAGACACACGCATCAAATCCTCAGGGTTCAAGCCTGCAGGTAAAAACTTAGAAAAATCCAAAGGCCAGGAAGTTTAACAAGGTGGTGTCCCCAGGGCCGCCTCCTGCTTGATCCCAGAGAGCCCTGGACCCCAGGGGTCTCCCACCTTGGCCACTGGACTTCGACTCCCAGGATTCCCCAGCCAGCTTCGCTAGACTTCAACTCTCTCTCTCTGCCTGCTTACTCTCTTGTCATCCCTTCCTCTGCAATCTCTCCACTCTAGGGAGTAGGAGAAAAAAAGACCAGGCATGGCTGAATGGGGAATTCTGGGAGTCCCCAAGTCTTTAAAGTGGCCTGGACCCTCCTGTCCCCCTCACCTACGGGGTGGGGGGGAGGGGGGCGGCTAAAGCCAAGGGGTCAGAAGATCCGATTACTGCAAACTGCATTCAAGCCACGATGCATTCGAGGTTACCAAGGCACTGAAAAAAGTGACCTGCGACCATTTTTCACAGTCACCCCCTTTCCAGCCTCTCCATGATCGAAACCCAGGCGCTTTGGCCACTGGTTCATACTTACGACTGTTGTAGGGTCCCTTTTGTGACCTTCGGGAAGCCAGATTCCCCTAACAACCAAGGTGGCTCATTTATCAACTGCAGCGATTGGCTTAAAAAAGCTCTGGGCAAAAAAAGGTCGTAAAATGGGGCGAAACTCAACAAATACCTCGCTTAATGACAGAAATGTTGGTCTCTGTCGTAAGCCGAGGACTTGCAAACAATTTCCCCCAAGGCCAAACCAAATAAAGCACCACTTGTTCACCGCTTCCAGCTACTATACTTGTGAGGTAGGCTGCCTCTGCATATGGAGGCTCCACACAGATCTTAGTTCCTGGAGCTGAGGGTCTCCTTTACACGTCTTCCACCTTAACAATGGTTTGTTTAGTGGCCAAAGTTACAACAACAGCAGACCTGGGACTGTTTGTCACACTCCGCGACCCATGGCTGCCTTCCCCGTCCTGTGATCGAAATCCAGGTGCCTGGCGACTGACTTGTACTTACAACGGTTGCTGCAATCCCTTTGCGTGTGGCCTGACCAGCAAAGTCACTGGAGGAAGCCAGATTCACTCAACGACAGTGTTGCTGACTTAGCAGCTGCAGTGATTCACTTAATGACGGTGGCAGGAAAGGTTAAAAACAGGGCCTTGGGCTCCAGTGTGGTCGTAAGTTGAAGGGCTGCCCACCTCCAAGCCCGTTTCCCCCCCCCTCTTGCCTTCTCTACCGGGGTTGGGCTTCCCATAAGCCCCTGCCAGCTTAGCCAATGGTCAGGTCAGCCCAGGGGTTTATGGGAGTTGAAGTCTCAGCAAGCGACTGGAGCTGCTGCTGCTGCTGCCGCCCTCTTGTGGGCAAACGTCCTCCTTGCACCCTGGTGACGTCACTCCCTAAGGAGCCTGGGTCTGCCAATGAAGCCGTAGCTAGCCATGGTTTCTGCCCTGGGGGGGGGGGGGGTTTGGGAGCGCTCCAATCGCAGGGCCGCCTGGCGTTGGCCACGTCCCCCCACTGGAGAAGCGAAGGGGCAGGGGCTCCTGTGTTGCCAGGCCTGTCTCCAGGCT